TTGCTACTGATGTGCGCTGTTATGGGTCTTTTTGCGTTGCGAAGTCCAATCTCGCTTTAAGTGGAAAGATCGACCAAAGAAAACAAAAAAGCACCACCCTCGCAGGCGGGGGGGGGGGGGGGGGGGGGGGGGGGTATGCGAGCGCTTGGAATTGACTGAGCCATTAAGTAACTGTTATGGGTACATTCAATTTTGTATTAATCAATTTGATTATTTTAGGTAGTTTGTAGGCTATATCGGAGGGTAGTGTCCGCCGTATTTTATAATCACGAAATGGAGGCTGAAATGAGAGAAAGGAACATCCAGTGGCAGTTCAAGGGAAACGATGATGACGCTCGAGATGAATTCATGAATTTTGTGGAAAAAAAGAGAAGAATTGAGTTTTATAACCATCCAGCAGCAAACTGTTCCACAATGTGCAAAGAAAGAGGTTGTGTAAATAACTTTTTATTTAATTGTTAAAGCAGTGTTGCATGCAATTTCCTGCTCCTGCTGAATAACTCGTTTCAGGGATGGTTATCTAGGATACTGGGACGGTCAGGAGCCCATTACTGTACGTACTGTCCGTACTTCGACTCATTATGAAGGTTGTGTAGTACAATTTAGTACACATCAAGTGCAATTACACTGAGGGCGGTCTGCGATATAAGGTAAGGAGGTGTCAGTGTGCTATTGGATCGAAACTTAGTTCTTGTCCAGCTTGTCGCTATCCTTATTGAGTTCTTAGTTAGATTCACTCACGGCTTTCGCTGAATAAATCATCTTTCATATTATGCTCTTAAGGTTGCGAAAACTTTGTTTCAATGGACGGCATTTGGAAACTCCGTCATTGCCACTGTTTGTACCCTGTGAGAGCAGAAGTGTCTGGCCTACCGACCATTAACTATCCAAATGTTGGCACCGAAGAGCCGGAAAGCCAAACATCAGCGTTTTGCGCAGAACACAGCGGACTGGCAAGAACAGACTTTTGGCGGGAAATCGCAGCGGTCGGACGTGTATTCATCGTGTCTGCCTAACATTGCCAAAGATGACCCCTCTCTGGCACCTACTCCTATGAAAATACACTATCTGGCTCCCTGACGATGTAATTTACCTTCTTCAATGTAAATGCCTCCCAGAAAGAATAAAAGAGGTGATCGTGGCTCAACCGAAGACGAACCAAGAAATCCGAAGAAATCCAACATGGCGGCCGAGGAAAACATTGATGTTGAAGAACCGATTGAAGCGGGCAAGGAACAAGAAGAGCCTAGCCTTCTTGAAATCAAGGCTCTACTGGTCGACATACAAATCCAAATAGCTGCAGTTCTTAGCGAAAATCGAACGCTGAAGAAGGAAATCGAAGAATTAAAAGAATCTGCCAACTTCTACGAGAAGGAGCTTAAAGATTTGAAAGAGTCCTTGCAAAAGACCAAGGACGAATACAAAGAATTAAAACACATGCTAGCCTCAACAAGGAACGAGCTTAAAACAACAAAGGAGAATCTAGGAAAGCAAAAAGAAGAATCCGATCGACTGTGGGAACACCATGATGATTTGGAACAATACACTCGAAAGAACTCGCTGGAAATCCATGGAATTCCAGAAGATGCGTATCCCAGTACGGAGGCCGCGGTCATCAAGGTTGCTGAAGCCCTAAATATCACCATAGAGCCTGAAGAAATAGAGATTTCACACAAGCTGAATCGGGGCAAATCCATTATAGTGAAATTTTGCAATCATAAAGTGAAATCGAAACTTTACAAAGAACGCACCAAACTAAAGGATGTCAAAATCAAAGATCTATTTCCCAGCTACCCTTCAAATGCACAGGAACGACAACGTATTTTTATAAACGAGAACCTCACGGCTTATAGGCGTAGAATCATGAAAGAAGCGAACAAGAGAAGACAAGAGGGTACTCTACTCAGTGTTTGGTCTTTGGATGGTAAGATTTTTGTTAAGACATCACCCTATGGCTCCCCTGTTAGAATTTTTTCCGAAGAGGACTTAGATCAATTATAAACTGAACAGGCAAAATAATCTACGTTAAGTCTGGAGAGGGACGTCTTATCAACCATTCAAATTTCTCGCTGCCAAAGTAATTTAATTTTACTAACTACAAATTTGTCTATGCTCTGTTCTTTGTTTTTGCGCTACTCTTTTTTATTTATTCAAAGTGTTATTTTGTTTAATTTACCTTTTGTGATCATTTGCTTCAGTCTAATATTATATGCACGTTTTAGTCTTCATTATTTGTTTAAAATATCGAGTACCTTTTGCATCAATCATTTTACACCTAATAGAAAGAATGCAAATCCTTTATTGAGGCGCACATGTTTTTTTCCCGTCGAGACAACGTTTATTACAAAAGACTTGAACAAATCGTGACTTTGAAAATAACTTCATTGAATGTCAGGGGACTTAGGGATGACGCTAAAAGAAGAGAAGTATTTAATTGGCTTCGCGCCAAAAGGCCATCAATATGCATGCTCCAAGAAGTACACTGTATAGAAAAAACAAATCACTTGTGGAAAGCAGAATGGGGCTATCAAGCTTACTTCACCTCTTTTGAAAGCAACAAAGCAGGGGTATGTATTCTTTTTAACAATAATTTTAACCTTCAGCTCCAAAGACTTTACACCGACCCTGCAGGGAGATTTATTATCTGTGACTTAAAAGCTAACGAAAAGCTTTTGACCCTCGCTAACATCTATGCTCCCAACGAGGATAAACCTTCATTCTTTCAAAACTTTTACGATCATCTTTTAAATTTTAATTGTGAAGACATAATAATTGGCGGTGACTTCAACCTTGTTCTTAACATCGAAAATGACAAAAAAGGTGGCATTGCCAAAACTCACCAAAATAGCTTGAAGACCGTTCAAGAAATTTCAGAGAACCTAGATCTTCTCGATGTCTGGAGAATTCACAATCCAGATGACAAAAGGTACACTTGGAGACAACGACAACCTAAGGTTTACTGTAGACTTGATTTCTTTTTAATAAGCCAAAGCGTTATTGGGGACGTCACTAACACCGATATAGTGCCAGGATATAAAACAGACCATTCCATGATTACTTTAGATCTGTCTCTTCATGCAAATAGCAGAGGACCCGGCCTTTGGAAATTAAATACCTCTCTTTTAACCGAAACTGCTTATGTTAATCTTATTAAGACAACGATTAAGGAAGTTCAAGACGAATATGAAAATGATGACATGGTAAACTCTGCTCTATTGTGGGACATGATTAAGCTTAAAATACGGGAAAAATCGCTCAAATACGCAATGAATAAAACTAAGAAAACAAAGGGCCGTGAGGCAGAACTAGAGCATGCAATTTCCAAACTAGAATCGAAAATGGAGAACGGAGACTCTAGCGTAACAGAAAATTCTGAACTTGCAGAACAACTGAATGATCTAAAGAGTGAGTTAGAAAGAATTATTGAGACTCGTACGAAAGGTTCCATATTGAGAGCTAAAATTAAATGGCATAATGAAGGAGAAAAAAATACGAAATATTTCCTCAACCTAGAAAAGAGACACTATAAGCAAGGCATTATAAGCCAACTTAAAGTGGACGAAAATAACTTTATTACTTCGGATCAGGAAATATTAGCAGAAGGGGAATCTTTTTTTATGAATCTATATACATCCAACAGAAATATACACAATTTAATTGACACATATGATTTTTTTAAACACGAAAACGACACCGTCCTGAATGACGAACAACGGAACAACTGTGAAGGCCTGCTAACTGAAAGGGAATGCCTTGCAGCCCTGAAAACCATGGAACAGGGAAAAACCCCTGGATCTGATGGGCTACCTTCAGAATTTTATAGAGTATTTTGGACAAACATATCAAACTTATTGATTAATGCTCTTAATTATGCGCACGAAACGAGTCAGCTTTCCATCACACAAAGAAGAGGAGTAATCAAACTCATTCCCAAGAAAGACGCTGAGCCGTATTTCATTAAAAACTGGAGACCGCTTACTCTTCTCAACTGCGACTACAAAATTGCAGCAAAGGCTGTGGCTAACAGGCTGAAAAAGGTTCTTCCCGATCTCATCAGCTGTGATCAAACTGGCTTTATGAAAGGCAGGTTTATTGGCGAGAACATACGATTAATAGACTATGTTATTCGTTTTACCAAAGAAAAAAATATCCCAGGGCTATTATTATTTCTTGATTTCGAAAAGGCGTTTGACACGATTGAATGGCCTTTTATCATAAATTCTCTTCAATACTTCGGTTTCGGCCCAAGTGTTGTAAACTGGGTCAAATGCCTTTACAGCAACATAGAGAGCTGCTTCTTAAACAACGGCTGGACAAGCAATTTCTTTAAAATTGAAAGAGGGGTCAGGCAGGGGTGCCCGTTGTCTCCATATCTATTTGTTCTTTCAGTCGAAGTCTTAGCCAAGGCTTTTAAAAGAAACAGCAATATCAGAGGAATACACGTTAACCAAGAGGAAATTAAAATAAGTCAATACGCAGACGATACAACCTTAATATTGAATGGTTCACAAACGTCGCTCTCAGCTGCTCTCAACACACTTGACGATTTTGGAGAAGCCTCGGGTCTCAAACTCAACAGTAAAAAAACAGAAGCAATTTGGATCGGAACATATAGTGGAAAAACAGAAATTCTTCTTCCAGAAAGAAATTTCAGATGGCAAACAAACAAAGTAAAATCTTTAGGCGTTTGGTTTACGACAGACCCTGAAAACACTGTACTTCTAAATTATAAGGAAAAACTGGAAAAAATTAACAATATTCTAAGCAACTGGAAATACCGTAGATTAACCTTAAGTGGGAAGATCACTGTTCTGAAAAGCTTAGTAGCTTCTCAAATTGTGTACGTCTTGGCACCCTTGTGCACAAACAAAAAAATAATTAGCGAGATTAACAAGCTCTTTTACTTGTTCCTTTGGAACGGAAAGGGCGATAAAATAAAGCGAGATATTATGATTAACAATTACCCAGCAGGTGGCCTCAAAATGATTGACATACTATCTTTCAATAAAGCGCTAAAAACCACTTGGATAAAAAAGTACCTGGATACAGATAATCAGGGTAAATGGAAACTTTTTCTAGATCTTGAACTGAAAAAGTTTGAGTGTACCCTACCGTTCACAAGCAACCTTAATAAGATAGACATAGCTAATATCTTCAAAACGCAAGACAGTTTCTTAAAGGAAATTCTCCTAATCTGGTCAGAAATCAATTTTGAAGAGAGGATAACATCAGAGAGCCAGCTTTCAGAACAAGGCATATGGTACAACTCACTTGTAAGGATTAACGACAGCCCTATTTTCTTTAAAGAATGGTATCGTAAAGGCATCACAAAAGTTAAGCACTTAAGGAACAGAGAAGGAAAATTCCTCACTCCACCAGAACTTTTAAACAAATACGACATCAAGGTCCAACCCTTGGCATACTGTGGAATAATTTCTGCTCTTAAAAAGCTATGCAACACATTCAACCAAGGTGACCACACAAACGAAGGTAATAGTTACGAAAGCTTTTCGACAAAACTAATGAAAGCCCAAAAAGCAAGCAAGTTGGTGTATGACAAATTAATTACAAAGAAAAGTGCCCCCCCTACTACAAGCCAGCAAAAATGGAATCAAGACTGCAACTTAGGTCAAAACGAAATAACGTGGGGTGCGACCTACCAGCTAGCTCATAAAATCACAAAAAGCATAAAACTCAGGGAATTTCAATTTAAATTGCTGCACAGAAGAATACCAACAAACGCTTTCTTAACTAAGATAAGAGTAAAAGAAAACTCCAACTGCTCCTTTTGTAAAAAAGAACCAGAAAAACTCGTACACCTTTTCTGGTCCTGCCCCAAAACGGCGCTCTTCTGGGAGAGCATCATAACGCGATTAAAACTTTGCCAAATTATTCCCGATAGTTACTCTGCAGACATGACTGTTTCACTAGGCCTGAGATCAGACTCTTCTAAACTTCAACGCCAGATCAACTTTTGTTTTCTTATTGCCAGGCACTATATCTGGCTCTGCAAAACAAAAGAAGCTATACCTCTATTGCAAGGATTTCTCAAACACCTAAAGACAATTTACAACATACAAGCACAAGCAGAAGCAAACAATGTTCTGCCCAAACAATGGTCATTCCTACACGACATCACGTAGAAACTATCGTTTCTACCATGGCGCTATTCCCAACGCCCCCTGATATTCTCTATGTCTTTCATCCGTAGCTTATCCTGCCTCAATAACGCCAACTATCCTTAAATAAGTTTCTTCCGATGCAACTGTGTACTTGAAGCATACGAAATGTAATAATGTTTGAAAACAGTAGTATTGTTAGCAATGTAAGCAATAAGTATTGTCAGTATTGTAAGTATGGTA